TTTTTGTGACAATTTTTTGCGTTAGGAGAAAAGAAATTAAAGAAATGCGTCATTCTTTACAGACCGATAGACGTAAACATCTTAAAATGTATATTTTTTCCATAGCAACTGTTAAAAATGCCTTATATCTATCAAAAATAGTAGATAAAATAGTACTTTAACCACAATGGTAGATTAAATGATATTTTAACAGCGAGGATAGGTCAAAAACTTTATTGAATCTCGCACGTTTTTTAATTGCTTCAATTTTTGAACATTTTTGTATTCTTTTTCATAAGTTATTCGGGATTTAAATGGGAGTAGTTTGGATATGGCGTTTGTCGCCTCAGCCTGAATATCTGTTGGTAATTTACTTATTTCGTTTTGAGCCATTTCTAGCTTTAATTCGATCAGCAATCGACACGAACGAGAATTAAAGAATATTGACTCAAAACTGGCAACTAAAGAGACAGCTTTATTTATTTGTCAAATTACATAGAAACCAACGCCAACCCAGCTCAATATTTTTTCTAATCGTAATAAATTCCTTGAAATAATAATTTCTGAATATTTTTTAAAACGTAACTCGCTATGGAACAAAATATTGTTTTATACACGACGATAAAATTGCATTATCGTCTCCCGAAATTAATTCACTCGCGATCTCATCGCTCGTGAATTAATCTTTTCGGTCGATTTTTTATACAAGACGATAAAATACCATTTTATCGTTTTGTATAAAAAATAACTATTTGTGCCAGTGTACTGATTTTGTTCATTTTTTAAGCAATGCTAGACTAAATTATTTGACTTTTTAACTTCTATTTAAACTGAAGTTTAAATTCTTCAACTGTCTACTTATACGAGTAAAAATTTAAAAAAAAATAAGTTTTTATTTTGGGTGAAAGTTCTAAATACCCTGTGTAATACTTTAATAAAGCAAAGATTCTAAAATATATTTTACTGCAAAATAAAAAACACTAAATCACCACAATACACCAAAACACTTTTACTTTTACACTGGACGCGCGTTTCGCTAACCATGTTAGCATCATCAGCAGATGATTATAAACTTAAACATGGTTAGCGAAACGCGCGTCCAGTGTAAAAGTAAAAGTGTTTTGGTGATTTAGTGTTTTTTATTTTGCTGTTTAACACCAAAGGTTCCAACCCTCAACTGTAATATATTTTACTATTAAAGTGCATCTTTCCTCTACAGTTTGATTTCTGATACATTTCAATGGCCTTATTTTTGTTGGAGATATTCACTATTGAACAGACGATTTTGTAATATGATCCCAATATTCAAACAACATTAATTATCTGTTTACGTTGATTAATAATAATTGCTCCAAATACTAAAAAACTGAATTTTGTACTTGTATTAGACAGTGTGGTCAAAAGTAACACCTTATAAATTTTATTTAATTTTTTGACGAATGCTTATTTATAACAAGAGACGTACATTTTCATAACTTATTATTATATTGATTTCTGATTCAATTCCAGATTTATTTAGAACAATTTATTAATTAAAACAATTAAGTATTTAATTAACTAATTTTTGGGCAGAAATAATGGTGGTATATTTTTAATTGGTATACTCTTTTACAAAGATTTAAATAGTTTTTTCTACAAACGTCAGTAAAAATGTAATTTTTAACGCATGCTGTCAATGCCTAAAATGTGACATTATGTCACTCACAAGTCATTTACTTTTAACACTGAAGCGATAATATTACCATAGCAACCATAAACTTCATAATTAATTTCATTTCAGAATGACATATTATTTTGAATTATTCATTAACGTAAATAGTAATACACCTTGATATATACGAGCATAAACTTGTTTGTAGAAAAAATAGTGTATGATATGTGTGCTAAAAGTGATTTCATTTTGTTCGAAGGGATGGGACACACCGCCTTCGGCATCGTGTTCCAAAAAATTCTTTCATTTAAATGGGCTTGCAATATTATTATTTTGATCACCTGTACATTTTGTACATATGTTGCTTTAAAAAAATCTAATATGTCAATATTCAATGAGTGTAAATTATAAGTAAATGCATTTTCTACGAAAACTTGAAGAGATAAGTAAAAAATGGTATAATACAATTTGATAGACAATTAAATTCTGCATCTGATTCACGTAAAATATACAAGATGGTCCATTAAAATTAAACCAGTTATTTTCGTTTAAAGCTAGTAATTATTTAATATAAATTTTTGGACACTCTGTATAAGGTAGTATAATTTTTATTATTGCAACACAGTAACTGATCAATAAATAATCTTCAGTAAATATTTAGCATTAAAAACTTTGATACCCTTGAAGAAATGAAGCCTTAAATGTTTTGCTTGGCTTTTAGTTCTCAGACTTATCTTTTAATCCCTCCCCAATTCAAGCCAAGCATAGATATGTTATTAAGTATTAGTTATTAATAAAAGAATAGTCGGTAAAACTATACAGGGTGAGTCTTAAATAATTTCGACCCCAGGAACAAGTCTAAGAGTTTTTTTGCAAAAAAAGATGTTAAAAATCGAGCATTTTCTTTAAAATTTTTCTGTATATTTAAAAAAAATCTTTTTAGAACTTCCTGTTCACCGCAAATTTTCCCACGGTATAGTTTCTTAATCTCTGATAATACGGCACATAAAGAGATGCAAATACCGAAAAATTGATGTGGCTCAAATTTTTTTAAAAATAAATCTATTTTTTCTTTATTTCCAAACTTTAATAACTCCATTGGACTTATTTGAAACTCGATAAAGAGAATATATTATCGACGTTTATTTTATTGAGATCTACGAGTCCTGAAAATATTTGCACTTATAAACTCACCTGTACATTTTGTACATATGTTGCTTTAAAAAAATCTAATATGTCAATATTCAATGAGTGTAAATTATAAGTAAATGCATTTTCTACGAAAACTTGAAGAGATAAGTAAAAAATGGTATAATACAATTTGATAGACAATTAAATTCTGCATCTGATTCACGTAAAATATACAAGATGTTCCATTAAAATTAAACCAGTTATTTCCGTTTAAAGCTAGTAATTATTTAATATAAATTTTTGGACACTCTGTATAAGGTAGTATAATTTTTATTATTGCAACACAGTAACTGATCAATAAATAATCTTCAGTAAATATTTAGCATTAAAAACTTTGATACCCTTGGAGAAATGAAGCCTTAAATGTTTTACTGAAATTTCACAAAATTGAAAATATTTCAAAAACGGAGAGGTTTGTCATAAATCTTAATCAAATTAACTTTTATTTCAATCGTAGAATCTAAAAATGGAATAAAATACAGGGTATTCTAATAAAAAAAAAACGATTTTTTTTTTCATATTTGGGACACTCTGTATCTTGTAAAATTATTTTTAAATTGTAGCTCTAATATTCCTTTAACGAACCCAAAACTTCTTTTAGCTACAATACTCCGTGTCATATGTGGTGAACAACCCAGCCCTGTATATATAAAGTTCCTCTGATCAAAGATTGAAAAACTAAACACAGAAATTCCCATATTTGAAGGTGTTAAGCTCTTTTACCCAAGCAGCATTTGGACGTCGGGACAACGTTGTGTCACGCGACCTATGCACGCGATCAAACGTCGGCTGAACCTCGTGCCAACCCTAGTCTGCATTAGTTTGGAGAATAAATTTTGGGTCGAAACGACGTTGGATACCTACGTTGGCTAGCAGCCTAATTTAGTACAAACTGCAACGTTGTTTAAAATCCTAATTCACAGAAATACAAAACTATAATAATATGGCGTCTAAGTCGCGTTTTATCCTAAATTGGGATAGTTATAGTAAAAATATTATTTTTATGATTTAGTTAGAGACATATGCCAGATGGCAGTAAAGGAAAACAAAACAAAAGTATTTAAGTATGGAGGATGTTTGAAGATCATAATTATTGAAACACTTTAATCAACTCTGTAACTCGTTATCCAAGGCAAAAAAGTTAAACGCAAAGAACTTTTTATTGATAAATGTATTGTTTCTACTTTGAAAAATACTAATGGGCCTTAAAATTAAAGAAGTTTTAAAAAGGTTCTTGAAATTTTTTTTTAGTAAAATGAGAATAATTTATTCGCAGTCGAAAAAAAATTGTTTCCGCCTGTTGTTTAGGGTCAAATATTTCAAGTGAATGTATTCAAAAAGCAGGAATTGCTATTTTAGAAACGAAACATTTTCTTTTTCAACAACATGGCGGCTTTCACTTTGTTGTTTTGGAGATTAAGATGGAGTAGTTCGAGTAGTCGCATACTGGACTAATAAAGTCGCACTTCAGCCTTAACAGGTAGTATACTAGTCGCAAGATTGCCTAATTTAGTCATCCTAGAGTCTAGCTTTTGCCGCCTTCTATATTCTAAATAAACGAGGGAGTGGATAAAGTATCGGTAATATGTCGATGTATCATTAAATTCAAAAACAGCACTGAACTGTCTGACTGAACAGAACAATGAAGTGAAAATTTAAGATTTAAGGTTATGGTTCAATACAGTTGCAAAAAGGTAGTGGCTCGACGTCCTACCAACGTAAGAATAAGGAAATGTAAACAACGTTGAAATTAGTAAAACAGACGACGTTTGCATAACGTTGGAATAGGTCCTGAAAGTGACGTTGGAAAACTCTTTATTGCCCAACATTGTAGCTACGTTGTCCAAATCACCTAAAGAACTTTACCAGACAACGTTTATTCGACGTCGGAGAAGCTTTTACTTTGTTGTAGTACTAGTTCAACGTCGGCACAACGTTACAACAACGTTTACATTTATTTTAATATCCAAGGTACGGAGCTAACTATTTTTTGTAACTAATCCAACGTTGTGTTTAGTAAACATGTGGTCGCAAGTCGTGAAAATGCTACTTGGGTAACTTCACTGTATACTATTTTAATAAAGATTTCTGTAATAACCCTATAAAGCCCTAAGCTATATAACCATTCATAACTTCGAAATTCTTGACTTAATTTTATTATTATTTATTTTTGTTACAGCGCTGCAACGAGAAGCTGAACACCCTCGCCATCTCAGTGATGAACCAATGGCCTGGCATCAAGCTGGTGGTCATAGAGGGCTGGGACGAGGAGGGCGACCATGCTCCCGAGTCCCTCCACTACGAGGGGAGGGCGGTGGACATCATGACGTCAGACAGGGAGAAGTCAAAGTTAGGGATGCTGGCGAGGTTGGCCGTGGAGGCCGGGTTCGATTGGGTGTTTTACGAGAGCAGGAATCACATACACTGTTCTGTCAAATCAGGTAAATATGCGTGGATTAAATTAGTCTTTTTTTTTAATCAAGAGTAATCAGAAGTGGAAGGGGGAAGTGGAAACCGGCCCGGGAAAAACAGGCAACCGGCCCAAATCCACAAAAACAAAATGACCATAACGAAGAAACATATTTTATTTATTAATATTATAAGTAAGGGTGCTTTTCGCTCGTGCAAAAAAGGTCTTTTGACTCCGGTTTCTTAAAAAAAATTAAATTGTCTTGATCAAAATTTTCGTAAAGACCAATATTGGGTCGGGCATCTGAATTTTTACCAGAAAATGGCTCAGTTTTACAGAGTTCTATCGCTTTATTTCCATTATTCGATAACGGTAATTTGATCTTGAATAGGCTACGATTTTGAGTCACGATTTTGAGAAACTTTAAGACTTCCTGATTCATTCAGTTTAGCTGACCCAATCCTCTGTGAAATACATTACTTTTAGCTTTTCGGGTATATACTTTCTTACACATTGTTGAAAGCAATTCTCTCTTTTCTGCTACAGCAGCAGCCTCCTCGGTACTCGTGTTTTTAACTGAATAAACCGCGGTTCTGATTTCTATCATGAAACTTTTCCCTCAAACGAAAAAAATCTAGGCAATACCAAGGCAGTGGATATAAATATGTTCTGATGTAAAGCTATCTTATAGTCCATAATAAGAATACATATTTGGATTTTCGAGACATATTAATATTTTATTATCTAATCTAGTTTAAACCTTATTTAACTCTTCTCTGCTGTCTCAGTAATTTTTAGCAACATTTTAAACAACAATTTACCCTTGGCTTTTAGTTCTCAGACTTAGCTTTTAATCCCTCCCCAATTCAAGCCAAGCATAGATATGTTATTAAGTATTAGTTATTAATAAAAGAATAGTCGGTAAAACTATACAGGGTGAGTCTTAAATAATTTCGACCCCAGGAACAAGTCTAAGAGTTTTTTTGCAAAAAAAGATGTTAAAAATCGAGCATTTTCTTTAAAATTTTTCTGTATATTTAAAAAAAATCTTTTTAGAACTTCCTGTTCACCGCAAATTTTCCCACGATATAGTTTCTTAATCTCTGATAATACGGCACATAAAGAGATGCAAATACCGAAAAATTGAGGTGGCTCAAATTTTTTTAAAAATAAATCTATTTTTTCTTTATTTCCAAACTTTAATAACTCCATTGGACTTATTTGAAACTCGATAAAGAGAATATATTACCGACGTTTATTTTATTGAGATCTACGAGTCCTGAAAATATTTGCACCTATAAACTCACCTTGTATAATAAACATTTTCAAACCGAACAAACAACAGATGATTATTAAAATTATAAGTGTCCCAGAAAAAATTGGTGTTTATGTTAAAAAGCATTTTTGGATCACTAAGCATTTTATGTCACTTTAGTTCGAAGATTAACAATTTAATTTTTGCTAATCCAATCTTTTTTGAGCTCTGATCGGGACCGGCCCACCGTCCCATCTTTCCACCAGCCCACCGGGAATTTTCCCGTTTTCCCATATGGCCCATCCACCCCTGAGAGTAATAACCATATATTATATCACGAGACCTATAAATTTAATCGATTAAACTATTCAAATATATTTTGCGCTGGATTTTGCTTGGAAAATAGTTGAATGCAACAATATTTAATAATGAAAAATATGTATGAAACAATAATTTAATAAAAACCAGAGACCCCGAAGCGGTCGAGTGTTTTTATTATTCTTGAGGGGTGGTTTCACCCCCTTAGAATTCGAGTTTTGAAAAATCCCTTCTAATCGTACCTCTACACCCTAAAGTCAATCCGTTTTCCAAAAATCAGCTTTTTACGTCAAGCGCTTTAAGCATGATCGTGATTAATCAATGACCAGATTTTTCGAAACACCCTGTATACATTAAAAAATCTTAAAATATGTAAAAAAAATAAAATATACGTGTTCAAGCGTTTTTTTCGGAAAGTTGACCATTTTTAAATAAAAAATATTGTAATATTTGAGAGGTGGTTTCACCCTCTTGGAACTGGAACTTCGAAAAATCCCTTCTTATCGAACTTCTACATCCTAGAATCAACCTGTATGCCAAAATTGAACTTCTTACGTTGAGTGGTTTGAGCAGGATCGTGATTAATCAGTGAGTCGGTCACTTAAGGATTTTATATATTAGTATAGATTTATGGTATACTAGTGTCATATATAAACAAGTGTTATCTTACATACTATAAGGCACGCTGGGAAATGTTTATAGTAATAATGGGAATAATTTTCTCAAGTGACTTATATGTTATAACACGCGAGTGCCATACAAGATTTTACCCAACAGCAGAACTGTTTCATGTCAAATCTCTAAAGAATAGTTGATTTAAAAGGATCTACCAGTTCTACATTCATTCTTGCGAATTAATAAATGATCAGGGTGCGTTTATTGAACTATGCAATATAGATGTAACTGACATTAAGACGTCATTTAGATAAATCGCGATTTTTTAACGATAAAATAGTGAGTTATCAACCAGCAAGTCAAATTTTAAAGAAAAATGATTCAGGAAGATCTTCCGCAAGTACTTGGGCCTACAACATCCTGAACAATACACTGGCCATTGTATGAGAAGATCATCCGCTACCATTACTGGCAGATGCAGGAGTGCACATGACAACGTTAACAAGACACTCAAATCAAAAAGTCCATCAACAATAAAGTAGAGATTGCGAAAAAGATTCAAGGTGCTGTAAGTGTTCCAGAACAAGCCGTTGTAATGACAGAGCCTATTTCAAGCAGTGATAATATATTATTTTTATTAAACCTTTCCAGGGCTGTAACTCCTTCAGGAAGCATTTTAGGGCATATGTTCATAGGAACTTTTTGTTTTATTTTTATCTGTAGAGTCACCCACTAAATACATTATTTTTTTGACACCTTGAATGTCTTGTGTACTTTTGTATTATAGAGAAGGTCTATTTATCTCATTTATGCGATGTTTAGTATTTCGCCTAAAGCCATAGAAAACTATTACATAACAAGTCGATAAATTCACGCTACTAAATTGTCTGTATGCTCTTGAAACAGGTTGTTCAACGACTAATGTCAATGTCAATAACTGCCGCGACCCGTTGTAGTAGCATTTCACAACTACTTCTATTAATGACATGTCCCAACTAGACCATCCACGGCGTGTAGACGTGGTTTACAGTTAGTAAAAAGGGGCGTGGTATCGGACAATATGTTTAGGAATGGAATTAAAACAAAATGCCGAATATGAAATTAGAAATAAATTTGAATATGTAATGAGGCAGGTGAATTTTTAATGGTTGTTCGCGAGTTGTTCAATTTCGGTTCAGAGTGATAATGTAAATGTTTTGTTAGACGACACTAAAACTCACCATACCCTAGACAAGGAAAGAGAGTCTCTCTTTCCTTCTCTAAGGACAAAATACTCGGAAGCTGAACCGCGCAACCGCGGTATACGTCAAACTCAGCTGAACTTTGCCGTTGAGGGACTTTGTAAACAACGGCACTTTTATAATTATCAGAGTAAATATGGCCCTATTTAAAAACAAAGTTAAAAACTCAAAATAATACAAAAAATACCTACTAAAAGCATTTAAAGAAGATTTACAATTTGTGAATGCGTTTTGGGGATCCAGCGATTCATAGAACTTTGATAATTAATATTACAGACTGGATTATTTTTAATTTGTATTGTTTCACTTAATTTTGTGAAAAACACTATAATAAGAAGAAACGTATTATTTGCCCACTGTGTACTCTAAATATGGTAGTCTGTATATAGTTTGTGGAAGTTGCCGTATATTGCAACAACATTTGAAGGTAAACACCATGAAGTAAAATTGGAAATGGAAACACATAACTTTGCCTATGACTTTGATACTAAGGAAAGCTATAAACTGTGGTATGAAAAACAGAAGATCAAGATAAATTATGCATTCGCCAAGAAAATATAATGAGTATGTGGAAAAAAAACTTACAATTATTATCGTAATCATAGGTAAAATAGATTGGGTTAGATATAGTTCAGTAAAAAGACCATATAATGAGCCATAAAAGGAAAATGGATAAGCAAGAATTATTCCCAACAAAGTGAAAGAGGTTATTGGTTTAAGGCTTTATTTCGTTTGTTTTTGGTCTTACTTAAGTAAATATGTATTGACTGTTGGTTAAGGGTTTTATATTTATTTTGTACTACTTATGCTACTAACCTGTATAATGTGGTATTGTTTATTGTTAAAATTATTGTATTGTATTGTTGTAATTACTGTATTTTCTTGACATAGAACAGCCATAAGTTTCTGATAAGAAACTGCAACATTCTAATAAAGTCTGTGATTATTAGAACTATAAATGTTTTTTTATTTCTAATATGTTACAGTAATTAAGCTAACAAATTTTCCCAAAATGTTTATTTCCCCATGAAAATGTGATTCAATTTAAGAACTGATATTTTAATAAAAGATTTGAGAGTAGAATCTACATATATAAAATGCTAATGTTTATCTGTGTCGTCTCTACTGAAGTAATGACTTGCTCTAGAAAGTTGCTATTTTTACTAAAAGATAGCTAATTGACTCTTCTAAAAACTGTCGTCGCCGGACTTTTTGTTTTTCATTTAATTAAAAAAAAATAAAAAGTATTTTTTTCTGATGTCGTGGCGGATGCGCCAGGCTTCAACCAGTTTGAGAATAGTGAGCTCTCTCCAAGTAAAGCTATGGTTCTCACTTATGCATCAAATTAGATAGTGATTATGCAATCTGCAAATGAAACAATTTTTAATTTACACCAATAATCAATGCAACTTTGACTAAAATCACTTTAGTAAGGCTAATCACTAGGCTTTATAGGTATATTACCAAATATCAGCCAGATATAGATCAATTTTTAAATATAGCCATATTTCTAAAATAGTCAAAAACTATAAAAACAAAATGAACAACCAAAACAGTCAACTACTGTTAACAATTTCGCATAATAAAATTATTGTCTGTGAT